GACCCCCCCAGACCACGCCCCAACTGGAACAGGGACCCCGGCTTTCCCTGCGGAGACCTGGGATCACGTCCCAATACCCAGGGGACCTCAGACCAGGCCTCACCTCCTTTGAGGGTCCAGACCATGATGAAGAGCCACCCCAGACCACGAACCGTGTCTTATTCTCCTGGGTGACCTCAGACTGTACCCTGCACCTGAGGGACTCCAGACCGTGCCCCCCAAGCACAGAGACCCTCGATCATATCCCAGCGTCCAAGGGGATCCAGACCACCCCTCAGGGACTTTAAATCGTATCCCAACATTCAGGTAGCCCTCAGACCACACCCCAACACCCAAGGAGGACCCAGACCGTATGCCAAAGGCCAGGAGAACACCCGATCATGCCTTACTCACTCTGGGGACCCAGAACATGTTTCCAGGACCATAGCCATCCCGAACCACAGTCATCGAGGACCACAATCTTTAGGGACCTCAAACCAGGTCCCACTCCTTAGAGACCCCAGCCATGTCCTTCCACACTCAAGGACCCTAAGCCACTTCCTGGCTCCCAACCGGGACTCTGACCATGTCTAACTTCTAGAGGACCCCAAAATGTCTTTTTTTTCCTCATGGAGGACCTTAAATTTTTCCCATTAGACCCCAAACCCTCCTCCAACTCCTGGGGCCTGAGATCTTTCCCTCTCTTCCTTTCCTCAGGGCACCCCCTTGTTTTCCAGAACCCTGGTTTGCAGGACTTCCCACCATTTCTGCTCCCTTGAAGACCTTGACTCCTTTCTCTTGGACCCTATGGACCCTTCCTTCTGGCTGTTAACTTTCTTTTTTTGGTGGGGGTGGGGGGAGGTGGGTACCAGGGATTGAACTCAGGGACACTCAACCATTGAGCCATATCCTCAGCCCTTTTTTGTATTTTATTTAGAGACAGGGTCTTGCTGAATTGCTTAGCACCTTGATTTTTGCTGAGGCTGGCTTCGAACTCGCCATTCTCCTGTATCAGCATCCCAAGCCCCTGGGATTACAAACATGTGCCACTGCACCCAGCCTGACTGTAACTTTCATGGAGCCCAGAAGGCCTTGATCCTTCCTTGTTCAGCTCCTTTGGTCCAATCTCTACTCCAGAGCTGACCTCCCAGGCCCTCCCTCAAACCCCACTAAATGTCTCAGGCCATTCTCCATCTCCTGAAAAACTCACAAGGTCCCTCAAACCCAGCAAGAACTCTCCTCAAAATTTGTCCTTTTGGGTTCAGGCTGGGTATAGAACCAGCCCCTGGTGCATGCTAGGCAAGCGCTTTGCCATCGAGCTAGATCCCAGCCAATTGTTTTATTTATTTTAAGACAGGCTTTCGCTAAACTGCTGAGCCTAGCCTCCAACTTACAATCCTCCTACCTCAGCCTCCCTGATGGATCATATTACGGGTATGTGCCACTGTTCCAGCTTCAAAATGTCTTATTGCAGTCCCCCAGATCCCTGGAGTCTCCAGTCATTCCCATTTTTGATCTTACTGTATGGCAATCCTCCTCCAAACCCCTTCTGAATATTCTTCCTAACTGTGCCAGCACATGAGGCCTGCCCTGGCCCCAGAGCAAGCTCGCCTGTGCAGATCCTCCCTGTAGTGAACCTTGACTCCTCTCACAACTACCAAGTGCCTCAGAGGACACTCACAATCTCTACACTGCCTAGACTCCACCTCCCCGCCTTTACCCCCCCACTCACAGGCCTCATCTCCACCCCAACCCCATGGTTCCCACTGGAGCATGGGACCAGGGCAGGGGGACGGAAGTAGGGAAAAGGGTAAGAACAAAGGTCTGGATTATAGTGGTAGAACACCTGCCTCGAATGCACAAGGCCCTGGGGTCAATCCCCAGTGGTTAATCCCAACCAAGAACAAAACAAAACACAATCACACACCAAAAGTGAACACACATGCAGCACTAGTGTGTGCCAGCAGTGGTTCCAAGTGCTTCGCGGATCTATATGAAGTTCATCCAATCTTCATGACAAAGAGTCCCCTTACTATCCCCATTTTATGGATGAGGAAAAGAGAGGCATCCAGGGGTTTGGTCTCTTACCCAAGGTCACACGGGTAGAATAGGATGAAAGTGAAGGGAAGAAGAGGAAGGAGGGCGGGCCTGGACCGGACAGGAGTGGGAAGGGGTGAGGGGAAAAAGACAATAAGAGAAACAGACACACCAAGATGGAGAACCAAAGAGGCTGAGGCCCGGCAGAGGCGCCTCCTTCACAGATCTGTGAGCTCGGGCCCCTGCCCACCTCCTGACCTCATTCCCAGCCACTCTTACCTCTCAGCTTCAGTGAGCCTTCACTACCCCCTCAGCTCACAGCAGCCCCGGGCTTGGCTCTCTTCCTCCTTTCCTGGGCTGGTTCTTCTTTTTCATTCAGGTCATAAATGTAATCCCTTCAGGGAGACCTTCCCTTTCCAGCCCAATTTACACGCACGCGCACACACACATACACACACCCCTCAGGTCCCACCAAGTGTTCCAGTGTCTGCAAATTACTTTGAAATGCATAAAAATTAAGATGAGTTGATGGACGGCTATGTAATAAAGCAAGCACTGTGAAATGTTCACGGTAGAATCTAGGTGGGAGATATACGGGTGTTCACTGGAAAATTATTTCAACTTTGCTGCATGTTTGAAATTTTTCATAATAAATGTTGGAGATGGAAAGAAGCAGGAGGATGCTTCTAGGGACTAAAGTGGCAGCAAAGAGCCCCAACAGCTCTTACCATTCGTAATACTTAACACTTTCTGAAAGAATCTTATCATTTACATTTTTTTCTATTTATTGCTTATTTAGTGGCTCATTGGTTTGTTGTTGTTGTTGTTTGTTTTATACTGGGGATTGACCCCAGGGACACTTTACTACTAAACTACATCCCCAGCCCTTTTTAAAAAAATTTGAGACAGGGCCTCACTCATTGCGGAAGCTGGTCTTCCTTTAATTTGCAATCCTCCTGCCTCAGCCTCCTGAGTCGCTGGGATCACAGGCATGCGCCTCTATGCCCAGGGACATTGTTTATTTTCTAGTCATTGAAAGGTAAGCCTCTGTCTACTGCCATACCACCCTGACCACCCCCCCCCATCTCATCTGAAAGATAAGCCTCTTCACAGCATGGACACCGGAGACTGGCCCCTGTAGGTATTCAGTAAACAAGTGCTCCTTAAGACAATGTTGGGGGCTTGGGGTTGTGGCTCAGTGGTAGAGCACTTGTCTGGCACTGGGTTCCATCCTCAGCACCACATAAAAATAAAATAAAGGTATTGTGTCCACCTACAACTAAAAATATATATGAAAAAAGAGGGGCGGGGGCTGGGGAGCTAGGCTGGCTGCAAACTCCCTTCAGATACCTCAGTAACCCTTCCCAAGCCTGCAATCACTAACTGGGAAGGGGTGTGCCCCAGCACCGGGGGATGTCCCTTGTCAGGAAGTGCTTGCTCACTGGCCTCAAGTGTAGAGCAACAGGTGGGCGTGGGCGGGGTAGTTGTTTTCATGGGTCCCTAATCCTATCCCAGACACTTTTTTTGTGTGTACCAGGGATTAAACCCAGGGGGAGTCTAACCACTGACACATCCCCAGCCCTTTTTTTATCTTTTTATTTAGAGACAAGGTCTCACTGAGTTGCTTACTGCCTGGCTTTTGCTGAGGCTGGCTTTGAACTGGAGATCCTCTTGCCTCAGCCTCCAGAGCCCTAAGAGTACAGGCAGGCACCACCCCATCCCCGCCCAGACTTCCTAGGACCAATCCTCGTCCTCAACAATATAGGCCCCGCCCCAAGCCTAAGCTCCACCCCCTGACTTAGGCTCTGCCCCACAGCAAAAACTACCCCCAATCTGACCCTTAGGAGCGACTTCCAAGTCCTTTCAGAGGAGGCCCACACTTCTTAGAGACCACCCCAAAGTATAGAACATCAGACTTCCCCAGCCTGGACCCCACCCACCGCCTACACCCTCAGCCTGAGCCCATCCTTCCGCCTTGGCCTCCACACTGACAGCATACTAACTTTGGGTCCAGACATGGCGCTTCATGCCTAGACTGGGTTTTCCCCTCCCAACTCCCCCCTGAAGACCAGACTTTGAAATATAAGCCATGCTCACATTCAAGATTGGGAGGAAAACGTGCCTCAGGGAAAGTCTAGAGGCCGGATTTAAAAACTAGGGAGCTTGGATCTTGGGAGTCTAAAAGCTCGGCTGGCAGAACTAGAAAAGGTGGTCCCTGGCTGGTACCGCCCCTCTGAGGAGTCAGACTTAACCCAAAGCCACACCCCATGTGCTGACTCTTCATTGGATAACAGATTCTGTTCTAGCCTCTCTGATTGGTCCTTCCACCATTCTAGTCATACCCACTCTGCATTGGACTGCCTCCCAGAGTCTCCCTCTTTGATTGGTTTTTGCTTTCCAAACTCTTGGCTCCTGA